ATGAATCATCATCAGTGCTCCTTGCTGTATATATAGGGAAATAAACCTATTTTTCGCATTCATGCTGCAAATAATGCCATATTTCGATTCAAACTGCAAATTCATGCTGCAAATAAGGCCATATTTCGATACAAAAAACTTTAGTGAGAAAAAACGAACTACAAACCTATTAACGCCAAACATTCGGTAGAATTTATAGAATATTGTAAATATATATATATATATATATATATATATATATATATAAATAATGATGGATGATGATAGTGAGTGAAATGACGATAATGATAATGAGCAGTGATAGGCAAACAAAAACATTGAAAAAGTGACAGAAATTTGGAATGAGATTTATAACAGAGTCAAAGTTCCTGAAGATCTATCTTAGTCAATATTTATTGTATTGCCTGAAAAACCCAACTCAACGGAATGTGAACTACGTTGAACAATCAACTAGACGAGTCATCTTCCAAAACTTCTCTTGAGAATTCTGACAATGAGAGCACGAATCAAAATCAGATCTAAAATTTCAAATGTCTATTGTGGTTTTGTAGAAGATTGTGGGCTCAGAACGCTATCTTCATGCTACGAATGATCAGTGAACGAGCGGTTGTAAATCTGGTATAGGTATCAAAAGAAGGATAGCTATGGCGAATGATTCATATTCTAAAATGAAAAACATCCTCGCCAACAGTAAAATTAGAATATCAACAAAATTAAAACTGTTAGGGTGTTACATTTTTCCTGTACTAACTTACGGCTCTGAGTTCTGGACAAGTTTTAAAGATTTGCCCATATCAATGTGTGGGTTTGTGTCTGACACAAAGTAGGAACAGTTTAGAGAGAATAGTGAAATAAATAGGTAATAAAGTTAACGAATTTTTAGTGTCCATGTTCTATACTACATTTTAACATTATTATTACAAAAGCCCCCTTTTTTTAGAAACCCCTTAAACTTTTGGGGGTCATTCCAAATGCCCCCTCTGATTCCTCCCACGTTTTCCAGGGTCTGTTTACGATATTTAGCCGGTAAAATTTATAAAATAGTGGATTACTGTATTATAAATCAAACCGGTAAAAATTATAAAATAGTGGAACACTCTAATGTAAATAATGTCAAATGAATTAGGATTAAATTAATTTGAAACATTTTCTTGCGTTAGGCTTGGCACTAATTTGCGGAGTTGTTCCTTAAACAGCGAGCTCCCGTCACGGCCATCGTCATCATTGTTGAGGTAAAAGTTTGATCTCTTAGCTGCCTCGCGTATCAAATTGCATAAATTTATATTAGTTGATGACATTTGTAATAATAATTTTATCAAATAAATAATTGATTTAATAAATAAATGTATCTTAAATTAATTAAATAGCAATTTAAAGAGAATTTGACTTCAAATTTGCTTCAGTGGTTGCTACGCAATCAACAGGTGTTCTGAGACGTATAAAAGTGAATTTATTTTCAGGTAGTATAATTTTGTTTTAATTTATTTCGAGAAAACAAAATATTGATTTGTTACAATCAAATGACATTTTTTTTAAATCAAAACTAATTTTTTTATTGTTTCAGCAGTTTAAAATTTATATATTTAGTTGATTTTGTAAATAAATTTTATTAATGGCATACTTATTTTTATAAATAATTATTAAATATAACAATTAAAAAGCTCAAAAATGTTTTGGTCAAGGGTTCTATCTACTCTAAACCTCACAAAAATGACTGCAAACAAATCCATACCACCATTGCGAGGCGTGAGTGGTATAGCGGTAGCATAGTTGCCTTCCAAGCAATTGACCCGGGTTCGACTCCCGGCTCACGCACTTTTTGCCCGTAGAAACTATCACATTTTAATGGTTACAAAGATGATACTAATAGGTTATAAAATCATTTTAAAATTCTTTTTTTCAAGATATATTTTTCATTTTGAAACATTTTGTATAAAATTCACTAACAAACAAGCAAACCAAAACAGACACACAGGTGCACACACATACATACATACCCACACACATACAAACACACAAACATAGAGATACAAACATACACAAACACACACTCATCTGTTTGTTATTAAATATCGTGACATAAAAATCTTAACTGTAGAATAAAAAATAGAGCATAAGAATGAAGAAATGAATAAATCTTTCTTTCTCCTTCTCTCTCTCTCTCTCTCTCTCTCTCTCTCTCTCTCTCTCTTTCTTTTTCTCTCTATTTATCTCTCTCTCTCTCTCTCTTTCTCTACCTTAGTGTAAATCTAAAAACAATTGAATTTAGTTTGTTTGGTCGTATGTTCGTTCATGCGTTCGTTCGTTCGTTCATTCGTACATTCGTTCATACATTCGTTCGTACGTTCATTCGTACGTTCGTTCGACTTTCTGTTATATAATTTACCTTTACATAAACTCATAAACTGGAAAGGAGACTAAAAGACTTCAGTTGCAAGCGTTTATATCATAGTAATGTACGCAGATTTCAAAATCTTGCGTCACTAAAGGTTTCTTCTCAACAAATGTCATTCATTGGGTAGGAAGTTTTTGAAAATTTTTCCAAAAAAAGGCTGAAAATAATGCGGAACTTGGGAGAAAGAACTTGCTTCCATCGAAAAATTATCATCAGTTGTCGTGTGTTGTTGCCTGCCCTCTATGTTCTCGCATTCTCTCTATAGCCAACCGAATCAACTCCAAAAAGACAGTTTTTAAATTATTTTTGTAGAAATTGATTTCTAACCAACCCAAAAAAATTATTTGCTAGAGTTTAGTAAACTTTTCAGTAATACAAAAGTAACACAGGTGTGTGTGTAACTGTTCAATTCATTCAGGATGTATCTCTCAATATATTTTAAAACATTTTTTTCATGATTTATAATTTATTTACATATATAAATTCACATTTACATAAATAAATTTACCTGCTCGTAAAAAAAAGCAATTTTATACATGTAGACTTGAAATTTCAAAATGTATATTATTTAAAGCGTTTAAATTTAATTTAAACTTTAAAATTTAATTACATATAATTTTTTATTTGATAAAAAAAAAAGAAATACAATGCAGCTGTATTCTTGGTAACAGAGAATTATATTCTATCAGTTCACCGTAAGACACACACTTCATGATTGATTTTACTCATAATAGCTGATATGTTGTTTCTGGTTAAAACACACACCACACACACACACAAACAAACACACACACGCACACACACACCTAAATATTTAAATACAATTATTTATAAAGATCACTGCGGCTTCGGCATATTCAACTTGTTGTAGTTGAGTTTCTCAATTTTTCTAACGAGACTTTTATCATCTTAATGAAGTTTATTAATGTTAAATAAAAAACTTTTAATATTTGACATTTTTGATTTATATTTATATAAATTTATTCATTTCATTTTTGTTAATTCTTTTAAATATTTCATCTTTAAATAAAATCTGTTTGAAGTCGTTCGTTCGTTTGCTATTTAAGCCTTCAATGGTCAGCATTGTGAACTGTTTTAATAGAAGTTACATTTCAATTTTTGAAGACATAAGTACCCATACGTACAGCGATGGAAATACCTTCTCGTAGACCCAGTCATCATGATGTATTCGAATCCAGTCAGTGCGACATCACAGCCAGCCATCTTAACCATTTCTCTGTTACATATTTTACTTATAATGATAAAAGCATAGAGATTACAAATCTGTGATCACATTGACAAAAAATAAAATGCAATATAATAATACAAGAAATTACAGGTCAATAATTTTCCTAGGTAGTATAGTTCAATTCCTGTGTGTAGCTAGGTGTATATTATATATTATTCTTGTACAGCATTGCATTCTATTGTCTTGTTTATTAGTTAATTAATTAATTAATTTTATTTTTCCAAACCAGTCGTCTGTTTTCAAGCTCTGGTTGGTCGGACTGATTTGCAGTTGTTAGTTAAATAAAATAAATATTATAAGCATTAAAATGTAATTTATATATAAAAATAAAAAAATTTCTACCTTACGTAATTGCCTACAGCGATGGCTGATGAGAAGCAAGACATTATAACTTGTTGTGTCTGTGACTCTAGGCCAACCATTGCCGAAGAAAATATTCCAAAGGATTGTTTCATGGAATCTAGGATAACGTACTGCACCCAGTGCTACGCCACTATACTGTTCTACGAAAATGGTTATCCGATAGTGTTTTAATTCCATTCGATTTCAAGTACTGAGTTTTTGCTTTATTTAAAGTACTTACAAAGTATTATTTGGATTAATTGTAATTAAAGTTTTACTTGAGTTAACTTGTGTGTAGCGTCATTTATAGCCCGTACTCATGTACGATGTTTGTGTTTGCAATGAACCCTCAGGACCTAAGAAGAGTTTAGTAGAACTATAGTTACGAGATTCCAAATTTTTTTGTGATATCTATATCCGAACTTGTATTCAAACTTTAAAAAAGATTGCTTGCTGTTGTTATGAGAGAGTTGCTACAATTTCAAACCAATAAATTTACAATCAATCAGCCAACCAATCAGTCATTCATTCAATTAGTTTGTAAAACGCTTTTTTGGCAATGTTCAACAGGCTCCTCTGAGAATTTTGTAAACAGATTGGTCTTGAGATCCGCTCTGAACTTCGTAAGTAACAGAGAAGTAGTCAGAGAAGGAGGTAGAGTTCTAGAGAAAAGGGCCAAAAAAAGCATACGCAGATTTAGCAAAGATCTTAAACATAAATCACGTAACTCTATCCAAATCGTAAATTTCTAAGACAAAATGATATTTTATACAATATAATTACCAAAGAACAACTTTTCAAAATAAAATTTATTTTAATTTCATTCCAGGATGTCTATAATTGTCATTTTCATTTGACGTACACATTTTTACTCAACAGTGAAAAGATAATTTTTAAACATAAGCAAATTGTGGTTTTGTTTAACTGACATGAGGGTTTTTCATGATTTCCTAACTTCATAGCCCAAACTGAACATTTCAAATTTTGACAGCCAATAACAAAACTGAAATTGGATTCTACAGAAAATGCATCAGTTATTATGAGGGGAAAGACTACAAAAGGTCGTGGGATAGTTTTCGCGGATTCACCATGGAAAGTTTATTCAGTGGGAATGAAGGAAACTGCGGGACTGGGAGTGAGTTATTTTAACCGTCGAAATTAAAGAAGGATCAAAGAAAAGTCTTCACGGATTTTATGGAAAAGTGGAAGGTTTCTGAATGTAATAGTGGTGCTGTTCCGAAGAAGATGAAACAAAATTAACTTGATTCAAATTAATAGCTAGTACGATAAAACTTTCTTTTTTTCTGTTCCGCCATTTACGTTGAATTGAACTAAATTCTAATTTTTTATGTTTTCAAAATTCAAATCATTTATGTTGAATTGAACTAAATTCTAATTTTTTTTATTGGGTCAGAGACATCTTGATGCCCTCTGGTCAGTTGTTAAATAAATAAAAAATAAAATAGTTCAAATATTTTCTCGAAAGAACATATCTTTGTGAGTTTATAAACTTTTTGGAAACTTATAGGAGGCAACGTCAAAGTTAAATTTTTTGATCGCTTTGAAATTGAAATTTATGTTTATGTTGTGGATGAATTGACTTATTTATAATGATGAAAATAGTTTTATTGATGAAAATAATGATAAAATTATATGATGATTTAAATGATGTAATGATGAGTGAATCTATATATGGTTATTGTAGCGATGAGTAGATGAGTGAATGAGTTTTATAATGATGGTGAGTTACTCTATTAGCCATAACACAAAGAAGATGATTACCGTGACAATTATTATTAAGTTGAAAATTTCTGAGTATTTAGTTTGCCTATATTGAATCAGTATATGATGGCTACTCATTCATTCATCCATTGCATCATTAAAATAACCACCATCATCCGTACGAATAGTTTCACTCATTGAGTTAGCAAAACTTTGTTTCTGAATAAAATTCAAACCAGCTGTTACGGTCATATTTTTTTTTCTTTTGGAATAACCGCTAATGCGAGATTGCACATTCACAAATTTAAATTTATTACTTGGCTTACAAATATTTTATCAATATATACATATGCCTGTGTGTTGTGTGCGTGTGTTTCTGTGGATATGTCTGTGTGTGTGTGTGTGTCGGTGTGTGTGTGTGTGTGCGTGCGTGTGTGTGGTTTCCGCCTGTGCCTAGAATGCTGATATTGGTATGATAAGCAAGGTGTGGTCTCAAACTATTTTGAATTCTTCCCGAAAAATTTGAACTGCGTAATACTGATAACTGTTGTTTTTATAATGAATTTATATATAATATATATATATATATATATATATTTATATTTATATATGTATATATTTATATATATATTAATAAGATTATATGTTTATATAAAAAGCAATATAGCAGATTCAACCAGCCAACCAGAAAGTTTCGAAGGCGTTCGTTCGATGACGTGAATTTAGTACGGTTAGCATTGTTGTTAAGCCTGTATAATAGTATTGTACATACATTAAATAAGTTTTTACTGATGTGAATGATTGAAATGATGAGAATGTATGGTTGAAACGAGTATAAATAGGTGCTGAGAGAGCATGAAAATCAGATCAGGCATTCTGCCTCGCTTGAGGCTTGAAGCAGTCTGCCTGATCTCATTTATTTTATTTTTTATTAATTTTATTATATAGAGTTATATAGAGTTGCGCGGCAATATATGTTTGTATGTGGTCTATATGTTTGTATTTTGTTTTTTTTTTATATTTTAGGTGGGTTCTTTAGCGGTTGCTCATGCATACATACATACATACATCATGTTTGTTTGTGTGGTAGTATTTTATGTTCTGTTTTACTCCTTTTTCTCTTTCTTCATGAGTCTTGAGTTAAGTTAATGAAACATAGGTAGGTGAGATTAAAAATTAATTTATTATATAGGTAGGCTAGGGCGTAAGGTAATTTACTTACATAGGTAGGTTAGGGACTTCTATTCTTTTACTCTTAATTGGTTGTGTGATTTTCGTTTTGGGTGTTTTTTTTGTTATGTTTCACACCATACATTCAGCAGGTACGCGGTGGTTCCTGGTTTTAGTGGGTTTTTTATTGATTGAATGTGATAGTTTGCATGGTTATATAGAGTTATATAGAGTTATATAGAGTTATATAGAGTTATATAGAGTTATATAGAGTTATATAGAGTTATATAGAGTTATATAGAGTTATATAGAGTTATATAGAGTTATATAGAGTTATATAGAGTTATATAGAGTTATATAGAGTTATATAGAGTTATATAGAGTTATATAGAGTTATATAGAGTTATATAGAGTTATATAGAGTTATATAGAGTTATATAGAGTTATATAGAGTTATATAGAGTTATATAGAGTTATATAGAGTTATATAGAGTTATATAGAGTTATATAGAGTTATATAGAGTTATATAGAGTTATATAGAGTTATATAGAGTTATATAGAGTTATATAGAGTTATATAGAGTTATATAGAGTTATATAGAGTTATATAGAGTTATATAGAGTTATATAGAGTTATATAGAGTTATATAGAGTTATATAGAGTTATATAGAGTTATATAGAGTTATATAGAGTTATATAGAGTTATATAGAGTTATATAGAGTTATATAGAGTTATATAGAGTTATATAGAGTTATATAGAGTTATATAGAGTTATATAGAGTTATATAGAGTTATATAGAGTTATATAGAGTTATATAGAGTTATATAGAGTT